TTGGGGCCATCCATAAATTACGTCACACGTTAAGGGGGAAGGAGGGAGGGGGTCGACGAAGTGTGACATTGTGTGACAAGGGGGTGGGAGGGTCCTAAATTTCGTGACGTCACATTTTAAAATCTATTATAATCTAACTTAAAACGCGAACTTTATAACTTTACAAAAACCTTGCAAATTATGTGACATCACACTAGGAGGGGGGAGTCTTACAAATGTGGCCAGCTGTGACTAGGACTGGGGAGGGACAAAAAAATCGTGAAAATCGTGCGACGTAATTTATGGGTGACCCCTATCAAAAACACTTAAACCATGTCTGTAAATCATTTTGGTGCAATCATTTTATAGTCTTTACCCATGGTGCAGGGGGTGTGCTTAAGACGGGACGGTGTTATTATTATAATATTATTTTGATAAATTACAGTTTTTGGTAATTATGTTTATGATTTTCTTTAAAAAGAATAGAAAATTTACCTACTATAAATATTAGACAACATCGTATACATTGCTTAGATTCCAAGATGACTTGCTAAAGCCCTCGTGTTATAGAGTATCTGAGACAACGAAGAAGCCGTATTTTATGATTTAGGTATTTTCATTCAAATCGTTTCTAAGGGGGAAATACTTTCTGTTTTATGAAACAACAACAATTTGATGCTTATTTAACAGAACTAGTGTGCCTGTTCCATGCCTGTTTTAAATCAATTACTGAAATTATTAAGTATAAAACTACAAGAATAAAATTGATGCATGGACTTAATGTGACATATGTCTATTGTTATATTTTTATGCATAAACATTCATTTTTGAGTATTCAGTTTTAGTGTTTATCCGTGTCAGTTAGCGTGTAAGTCACTATTATTAGTGTTTTGTGGTTGAACATGAATTTCACTAGATAGCATTACTATTTTTGACGTTTCTGAGAGGTAACGATGACTTCAAAATTGGCAAACAGACCGTAATTTTTCCTGTAATATCTTATCCCATAATCTTTTAATATAAATCTGATATTTACCCATGTCTAAGAAAATTTGAACTCATATTATACCTATGAGGAGTATAACGAAAAAGTAGGTTATTTCTGGAATTAAAATTGCCTGTTTCGCGTAAATTTTAAATGAAATCATTTTCTTCGATATTAGCTTCTATGACTTATCTAGTTTCAGCTTGCAATGGTGTGTTTGTTTGATACTGCTTGTTTCGTGTCATGTATTGACAGAAATGTGTCGAACATAATACTGCCATCTAGTGACATTTACTAACATTAAAACACTTCATTGTTCACAACACAACAGAGATAAATAAAGAATGAGCTACAAACATAAATTAATTTGCACAATACGCGCCCTTAACGATTAGCCTGTAGTAGTTTCTTTTTTTTTAATATGTGCATTATGCATACTACCCCATTTTGATTTCATTGATTATTTTAAATTAAATAAGGAGTGACATCCAATTTGTTTTGTGAACTACTCTATTATTAAATACTTCATAATTTTAGTTAATACTTAAAATAATATATGTATTGTGTTTTAACATTTGTCATAGTAATTTTGGAACACGGGAAACATTCCTACAAAAATAGTGGTTGGCAAACTGTAATGTAGTGTGTAGATACGTAATATCTCTTACTTTGTCTGTGGTGTGTAGGAATCTAAAGTTCTAAAAAGGTTTTTAATCGTCTTGGGTTGGATTTATTTAGTAAATTCTGTATAAATTCATTATTATATTGATAAATATGTCACTAGTATATTAATTATTCAAAGAATAAATTTTAATTACACGAATGATGTGATATTATTGGACTTTTCCATTTTTAAAACATTAAGCAGCAGATGCTTTTGACTGATTGCAATTTAACTTGGAGGATTGTGCTGTTGACAGTATTCAAATTTAACGCAGAAAACTTTTATTTAATGTATGTAAAATTTGCCTTTAATTGATGGCTTATGAATATTTTCATTAGACAGCACATGGTATTGGCCCGAGGTAAATTTATAAATTTTCTTTGATTGTATCAAATCAAATAAGTAGTTTTGAATTTATTCTTAGTCGTGCACTCTTGCCAGAGTGGTCGTGGTAATTTCGAGGTCGCGTCCTCAGACACCGTTGACCTTGTGATGTGCCGCCATGTGGTACAATGTTTGGCGAGATGAGCGCACTCGTTAATGCCGGAGTGCTTTACACGCAGTGGTAGTTTTGTTTTTCCAGTGGTATAGTTTACATGGGTCGCCTTGTCTCCTGTGATCCCATGGCCGGTAGCCAACTTCACACCCTGATTCCCGGACAAACCAGGGCGCCGATCGTCACTCAGATCTTTAGGAATTCGTTTATACTTATACGACCTCTTCATGACTCCCGTGGGAAAATTAGTGCAGTGGTTTCCCGTTGCCTTCTGCACCAGAGTATTAAGGGTATATTTGGGCACCTAGGTATCTGACGCCTCTTTCGTATGGGTTGCCCAGGTGTGTATGGTTAAACCGCCATTGCCCCGTTGGCTCTCTAGCACCACGGTAACGAGTTGGTTGCTGTCGCCATCAGGCGCGTGCTGGTGGGGTTGGCAGTAGTGCTGCTGAAGATAGTCTCTCCTTACTCTGTTTTGTTTCTAAATGTTTTCAAAATGTGATACGCGGAATTTCTACATTAAATTTGTTCACCAATTGATGACCAATTGACGACCTCCGTAGCCGAGTGGTTCGCACGCCGGTTTCAAGGTGTCGCCATCTCTGGGGTCCCGGGTTCGATTCCCGGTCGGGTCAATGTAGAAAATGAACTTTTCTATATTGACTCTGGTCTGGGTGTTGTGGTACTTTCGTTGTCTCAGATACTCCATAAAACGGGGGCTTTAGCTACTCATCTTGAAATCTGAGCAATGTATGTGATGTTGTTAAATATTTATTTATTTAATTACTCCACGAATAACACAGATAATTTTTAAATCTGCATTTCTGTAAAAATCTGAACCCGAATTCGACTTGACTAAGGTGTCCAAATTCGATTCAAAAGCGGCATCAGCCCTGAAATTCTGTAAAAATCCGAATTCGAATTCTAATTCACTCAGGTGACAAAATTCACTTCAAAAGCGACATCCGCTCAACCTTGAGTATTTAAAAAAAACATTAGTTCCCGAAATGAAACTAGATGTCGCTACGGTATCTTCTTGATTTCTCCATGACATCCCTTCCGGTTTTCTTTCATCTATAAACAAATCATATTCTATTTGTACTTTTTCGTATTTGTATCGAAGTTTCGGACTTTGCAAATTACAGTTTTTTAATATTTTAGTTAAAATGAACGGAAATGACTTTCTTTAGTCCATCCGTTTCTTGCTTTTGCTAGAGTCGCCATCTAGTGGAGGTGCTTATTTAGTGCTTTTTTTTTAACACTTCCTCATTGGTAATATATTTCGTGGCATCAGTGAAATTAGTTCATCCCTATTGGCATTGACAGCCTCAAGCAAATTAGATTAAAAAATAAGCTAATCAGCGAGCTGGCACATAACTTGTTATTTAAACTTTCTCCACATGAGTTGCACTCTTTGTTGCCATCATCACCGAACGCGTTTGTTGCTGATGCTGATGTTGATATTCCCAAAAACCCTGGTTGGGAACACTATTTAAAAACAATTTTTCAAAAGATGGGGGGCTTTTGACAAATATTCCCTACATTAACGCCAATTTTCAGTATTCTGCGAATTATTGTAACCTATTTTGGACTCTAATTTGACCGAGCTTTAATACTTGATCAGATTTTAACCAGTATTTTTCTATGGCCTTTTGCATACTGGTAATATATTAATTTAGCTGTATCGGCAAGATACCGTACCCTTTATTTCATCTAAAAAATGTCATTTTTTGACATTGACAGTGCTTGTGATTGACTAAGGTATGGCTCTTGATAGGTTCCGCAAAATTTCGATGATATCAATTCTTTACTCGATACCAGTATTGTATGAAAAAAATCGATACCAAAAAGTATCCTATCGTATAATATAAACCTATAGGTATCGAGTATTTTTTAATGCATTTATAGGAAAACCTAAATGGAGTGTTTGTTTTACTAACTTCAAATAATCAACAAAGTTCTGACAAATAAGTCACGGAATTGCACAAATTTACATCGTAAGAAACATAGAGATTCTGATTATGAGTTTTAAAATAATCCGATTATTTTATTATCTTAAAATTAAAAGTAGTGATTATTAGCCATGTGTCACGTGACTTGAAACACGACCGGCCATTGTGTGACGCAACTGTGGCGACAGCTGTCACATTAGTCTTAAAGAGATGTCTATTACTTAAAAATCGAATTCCTAGATGGCACTCTTCATAGCTCATTTATATCTTTAATTTCCAAATCGATCGTTCGATGGCATTGGTCTTGTTTTATTGTCATCTTTTAACCTTCTACTCCAGGCGAAATTAAGGTTTTGTATACATATCACAATGACTTCATGAATATGGCGGACAGCGTTTTCGAGGGTATAAAAAAGTTTAAATTCTGGTTTAATTTTAAAGCAATAAAATTTGTTTCTTACTCCGAAATTTTTGTTTTATGGCTTTTTTTAATTAAAATAAACAGTTAAAAGTATTATTTTTAACTGAGTAGAATACCCTATAGCTTCCACAAATAAAAAACAAGCACTGCACAAAAGCATTTCTGATGGTTTCTGTATCAGTTTTAGTAAAAAAAATACGACACATGTATACAGTATAGTTTTAGAGATCATCCTATTATATTAAGTTTTTAAGTTGAGAACAGCTTGCTTTAGTCATGACATTTTCAGCTAAATATCGATGTTAATTAAACATTGATTAATATCAATTATCCCTATTGCGTTGATGTGAACATTTTAATTAAAATATTTTTTCTTTTTCTTGAACTATTAATGGTGAGAGAGAATGAAAGTAACGATGCCTCAAGTATCGACTCAAAAGTATCGGTACCCTGTGGTATTGAGACTTTTTTTGCATATCCCTACTCATTCCCTACTTTTGCTTACTGTTTGGTTCGGCTATTTCTGACTGTAGTTTCGTATTTTATTAGAAGAAAATAATGTCTTTTAAAGGTGATTTACGCCAATTATTGAAGCCATACTATTGGGTCAATATCCTGTTGAGCATTTCCTATGTTTTGTGTAAGCGTACAGCTATTATTTGTAATTTCTTGTTCCCTAATGCGGATTGTGAATTAGATAGCCGTGAAACGGAAATTCTCTTTTTCCTAATAATAGTGGTTATGTTAAGGACGAGGAAGGCCGGTAGTGTTACTATGGTGAATTATCTTTCGTCTTCTTTTGTGTATACCAAGATTGCGAACCTTATACTTTGGTTATATGCGGATATAAGGCAAGTATACTTTGTGTTGTGCTCTTCTTATAACTAGGTTCATAGTAGAATTCCGATATGTGGCCAAAAAGCTTCTTGTTGCTCATTATTAAATCGCTAAATGTTCTCCATTGTCCATGGTTAGACCTAGTTAAATATGTTTATATAAATAAATTTGTTTAAAGCACTTTTGAATCGTCCAACATTTGTTTACCTACCTACCACTTGTTTAGGATGTCTTTTGGCTGATAAGAAGAACAAACAAGAAACTCGTCGGCTGTAACAGAAGTAACAACATTCACAAAAATCATGTCATTTCCAGATCAATACATTATAAATATAATGAATGAAGTTACTTTACATTATGAAAGTATATTAACATAAAAAAAATATCTTACAATAACAATTGGTAAGACAATATTATTATGTTAAATGTTAGGAAACACTTTTTTTAGATTGTTTTAGTTTATGATAAACTTAATAGTAATTTACAGATAAAATACTAATATTTTTTCTTACTGATCTTATAGGATTTGATAATTAAAAATATGCAATATTAATAAAATAATTGTTTATCAAAAATAAATTCAAGTTGGGGCAGTAACAAACCATTACCATATTCCAGTTCTTTAGCTACCTTAAGTGGAAATAGTAATTATTATTCTAGTAAGAAAATTATGTCTAAGGGTTACTAATTGTGACCCTCAAAGTTACAAGTTAACAATAACGTGTCAATTACCATTTTATTCATTCAAATATAGTCTTTATTTGTAACATGGCTAGAACTAAAGGCTTTTTTTAAGCAACTGTTAAAGTTAACTGACTAACCTGTTTAAGATTAAAGATTGAGTAGAGAGATTAGCAGAGTACTGGTTAATTATATCGTAGTGCTATACTTTTAAAAATACAGTGTCAAATACAGTCTTGTTGTAACATACATGCACAATCAAATCACTTTAAGAATCAAACAAAAAATGGAAGATACAAGTTGTATTTTGGTTTGGCTAAACAAAATACTCATTGTTGTCATAAGACCATTCTTTGAAACTAAATAAGACAATACTCAGACAAATACAAGTAATGCCTTCTTACTCATCCTAATTGTCTGGTAGTACAATTAACTAGCATTATCTGCCCTAAGAGTGTTACATCATTGAATTGTCACTTTGAATTTGAAATGGAGTACTTTACAAGATAAAAAGGCTCAAATAACAAAGGCTCAAAAAATATTATATTGCTATAATTATAGAAAAAATTGCTTTCTATATTGTCGTTGTCATATATCCAATGTTCAATATGTTTTTTATAAATATGTAGCCATTGTCACTCGCTGACCTTAATCTAAACACAATACACTCCTTTTTTAAGCAGTCATGTAGAAAGGTTTTACTTGATCAAACCTTTGAACTATGTGATGCTGCTGTGTTGGATGCTGTATTTAACAAAGCTGCATATTGTATCAAAAAAGAATAACTTGAAAAATGATTTTGACATGTTAATGGTCCATCATTTAGTAGGATGTATAGTGAGTACTGAAGTTGTGCATTCAAATGAAATGTGTATAACTGATCCTTCATCCACACCAGATTGTCAAAGAGAATTGTCTTTTAGTTCTGGTGTGTATATATGACTGTGACATTAAAAGTCTAATCTATTACAAGCATCTCAAGGGTGTGATCAAGAAAGGTAGGGTTGTTCCTCCCATCTATTGTGTGGGGTAGACTAATAGATTGATAGTTAAAAACGGAAAGGCATCGATTAGCTCAAGACAGAAATAAAAATATTTATTTTATTTAAAGCAATTTTCTAAAACTGCTAATTTATTCGTTCTAGATATGGTCTCCCTTATGGTGCTTTAGTCATTCTCGCTGCCCTGCTGCTGCCGGAGCCGACGTACCTCGGTCCCGAACACGTGACCTACTTCCGCGGACCACAGACTCTCGACGAGGAACTTAAGAAGAATAAAGGTAATTTTATGATGAAGAAGTAAGTAAGATAGATGGCATTACAATTGACTAAATGGTGTAGTTGTTTTGACACTATATCACTTCATGAGTAATTTTCCAGTTCTAAACAGCTTCTTTTATAGTAGAAATCTTTGTGTAAAACACACATATAAATATGATGTAAAATATATTTCAGTTTAGCATTTTGAAAATTTAAATATTTGTAAAAATACGTCTTTTGGCTGTTTGGATGAATTGCCTGAACATTGTTGAAAATATGTTCTGTAGTAGCAAAAAAGTAACAAGTTCTTGAAAAAATCATCAGTCCTGTTAGGTCCTGGGTAGCTTAGTGGTTAGAGGAGCCGCCCGGATTTCGAATGCTCATGGGTTCGAGTCCCATCTCAGAGTGCCAAGGACAAAGTGGATTTTTCGAAACATTTCTCATTACGAATGTTTTACAGTATAGCATTGTGACTTAAGAATTGATCAAATATAATAAATAGTGCTTTTATTTTTTGGCAGCGAATAGTTTAAAAACGATTGAATTATGGTTTTGTAATTGTTTTACGTGTATCATCACTTCATTTATTAGTATTGTAAACGTCATTATTACAAATATCGAATCCAGTATAATTGTTAAATTTAAATTAAATCAAATCAAATAATTTATTGCATGTTAATGAATTTTATTGAATAACTTGACAATAAATATTGTTTATAAGGCACGACGTGGTTGATTTGCTTGTACGCGGCGTGGCACCCTGCTTGCGTGAATTTCGCTCCAGTCTTCGCCGAGCTCTCCGCTTCGTACAGCTTAGACAACTTAAAGTTTGGAAAACTCGATGTTGGCAGGTACAAAACTTACTATTCAACTATGTAGACACACATAGCAAGTCATTCAGCTTGTTGCAAACGGCCATTAAAGATGTAATTAGTTTAAAGCGACATTACGGACACAAATATGACATTTATTAAACCTTAATGGACGTTTGTACAACTGACCGACTAATAAATGGCTTTGTGACTGTTTTGGGAAAAATATTTTAGAACTGTCATGATCAACCACTATCAGATTTATTTTACTCCAAAGTGCTATTTTATTTATAGAAAAAACATATTATTATTCATTTATTAAAATTCTTCCGCGGATACTGGAGTTTATTGTAATATGACGTCATATTACAATAAACTCGAGTATTAGTCGTACTCGTTACAAAGACATTGATATTTAGTTATTGAAATATGACGTCAAACGATGCTCTGTCATGGCCGCCGTAGTTTCGATCATCGTCGCAATAGAGAAACCACACACTTAGGAAATTGATATCAGCAAACCATAAAACGCATCCTGGTTATTGGCAGAAAATGACAGCTTGCCAATGAGTACGCTATTCTACATTTATGCGCCACCTTTCCTGTTAATTTTAAGCTCGTAACTGACGGTTGAGATGCTGTATTATTATATCTTAATCTTAAATAAAATATGACTCGCTGTACATTCCAATGACCCAAAACACATGGCTAAGATAATATAATATTAGGTATCTTAAGATGTCAAGCGATACGGGATTATATATTTCGTAGGTTATCTTAAGAGATATAGCATCTTAACCGTCTGTTACAAGCTTTACTTGGTACTATTTAAGTGCACTGGTATTACCCATTACCATAGATTATCCATTACATTATAAAGAATACTGTCGACACCGATAGGTACCCTGAGGCGGCGGCTAAATATCGCGTACAAGACGGTCCGGCTAGCAGGCAGCTACCCACTGTGCTCATGTTGTCAGCGGATACTGAACACGCACGGAGACCACAAGCGGATCGCACTGGAAAACTACAGAAGTATGTGTTACATACGCCTAACATAGTTAACGGGAACAGGGGAGACCCGTGTAACTCTCTAGTGCACAGTGATTTGCAGTAGGGTATGCAGCATGTACCTATATTGAAAAAACTTACCAATAGGGTAGTTTACATGTGAAAAAAAATCGAAAAATATACTATTCAGAAAGCTTAGTCAATAAACAGTCGGAAAATATTACTTTCAGTCAGTTAAAGGGAAATAACATGAGATGATTCATATCTTAACATTAAAAGGCGAGGTTTTTTTATGAGGCTCCCGTAACTAGAAACACGACCTGCCATTGTGTGACGTCGCTCCGGCGACAGCTGACAGATAATTCCTAAACGAATGCAAGGGTGGAACCAAGAGCCCGAACACACGACCTTTCGCAATTACGAAAGGTCGTGGGTTCGGGTTCCATCTCAGAGTGCCAGGGATAAAGATGATTTTTTAGGTATTTTTCATTAATAATGTTTATATATTTTTCGTCACAATATAGATTTTATTTAAGTACTTACAATGTTTAATTTAATTGAAGCAGATGAAGTGATAACACGTTTCGGGAGAAAAGGTAAAAGATTTATTTTGTTATTTAAATATAGGTAGGTATTATTATACAATTCTTACATTCATTAATAAAATACCTACTTTTTACTCGTATATATTATTATCTGGTTTAATTTTAATTCCTATCTGACCAACCCCCTGGCGTAGCTGAATCCACCCTTGAACAAATGCATATTTATTATAAACCAAATGGCATTCATCATGCGCCATTATAGTTTGAAAATACTGTACTTGAGATTTAAAGTCAGTAATCAGTCCAGTGAAAGAGTAAATCAATGTTAATTACCTTTTTTCAGATTTTTATTCTCCAAAGACAACATGAAAGCAGCATTCGATTTAGACGGCCTCTATGAAGAATGCAAAGAGAAGTTGGCCGCTACAAAGAGTAACAAGAAAACTGATTAAATTTAGTGCCATAGTAAAGTCATTGCAATTTCACATTATTTACTACAAAGGCATTGACGACATGACAATTATTATATGTATTTTGCTACCCTGAGTAGTAAATGATAAAGCTTCAAAATTCATAAAAACTAAGTACCAAACTATTATTATTCTTACAAGTAAGCATAACACCAGACTATATTATAATAGAAAGGCGAAAACACAAAAGAAAATTAGGAACAAAGATAAATGTAAACAAGTGTATTGCGAAGATAAAACTTAATAACCTTTTGAGTCGCAATGAGAACCAAAGTTCAAGACCAAAAAGATAATAAGCACACAAGATTAGCAAGCAGCAGCTGATGCCATATGGGTCGTCTAGCCAACGTCCTCTAAAGCAGCCTTTTCCAAAGTGACCGATGGCGCCCCCTATTGGGCGTTGTACACCTACAGGGGGCGGTAAGAAACCAAGAAAAAATAGGGGCGCTGTGTAGAGGCTTAAGGGGAGGTTTGTAATTTCATCTCTTTGACGCCGACAGAGCTCTCGACTCTCCGCTACAACTTATAAACATCAACATAATAATTAAGAGATTTCTCAAACTAATAACAAACTGGTCAATATTTCTCTCCATGTAGTTGATATAAGTATATCTGCCCTGTTTTATTGAATAATAATGATGTCATCCGGTCGCACTGTTTTCAAGTCTCGTTTAGAATGAAGGTTTAATCTCCACTAATATAGCTCCCAATAATTAATTGAATTCAATTTGAAGTTATAGTGGCTTTTAAGACGTTGAAAAAATTAGGGCGGTAAAAAATAATCTATTTTCAAAGTTGGCAGTAGACGAAATAAGTTTGGGAAACCCTGCTCTGGAGTATACAAAGGAAGGAACTAGATGAAAGAATCTGAAGACGGCAAAATGACAAGAATAGCTTACGTCCAGTGGTCTGCTGCTTTAAAGCGTTAATTATGTTGTTATAGTAGAATACATCTGCTGTCTTTAATACCCACTAATACGTCCTTGACCGTCGTGCTGGGTCACGGCTCTGTCTTCCTATTCGAATCCATCTATAGGGCCTATCCATCAGTAGGCTGGCGACGATGATGATAGAAGAATGTGTTGCAACGCATTTCAATGTTTAATGGAATGTTTTATAATAAATATACTCAAGTGCCATAGACCCTGTTGAGGACACCATAGGAACTGGCAGTTTGGGGAAGAAATAGGAAATACATCTGTAAAAAATACAATAGAAAACGAAAGCTAAGATTCTAACGGTGATGAAGCAGCAATGACAAGAATTGACTTATACAAATATATGGTTTGTCTCTATCTAACAGGCCCTTTCAGCCCTGCGATTCTGTAAAAATCCTAACCCGAATTCGAATTCACTCAGGGTGTCAGAATTCATCTGCTCAACTTTGAATAGGGAATATGCACATTTTTGGAAAATCTTTTTATATGATAATTTACATCGATATATAACTGTAAAAAAATACCCGGCACCGAAAAAATAAAATGTAACATTAATTATTGATGAAAATAAGTAATATCTACGAGCAGTTTAAACACCGGTATTTTTGGCGCGCTCGTCGTGACGTCAAAGTACACGACTAGAGATATGACACTAAATCAATATGGATTTTTAGTGAGTGATAATTATTCAATTACCCAAATCAATTAACAACTAACCGATTTTTTAAGTATAATAGACTTTTTTAATAAATCATATAATTTACCAAATAGGTGAAATAAAAACAAAAGCCTAAAAAATCATTTAAATTGTAATCAGTTGTGTATTTTGCGATATTGATGTTATTGCATCGATGTTAACTTTTTGTAACAACGACATCCCTATACGTGTACATTTTCTTCACATCCGCTGTGACAAGTAGCATGGCGTTTAAATATTTTAAAGTTACCGCATTTATTTTGCACTTTTTAATAATGAAAAATATTTAGATAGACTTTATTCTAAAGCAATAACGATTGTAATAAAATATATTTAACCGTTTTTTGAATCGGACGCGTATTCCCTATTGGTAATAACGTTTCGTGGCATAAGTGAAGTGAGTTTCGAAATCACATAGGAATAGAATAATCTGAGGTACTTAATTCAACCAATTTTGTTTTGTTTATTTTTATACAAAAAATGGAATCAATAGAATTTCTTCACTTAATTACGTGAATTCGGGCACATGAGTGCATTCGAATTCGGGTCTGATTTTTACAGAATTGCAGAGCTGATTAGAATGTCAGATTCTCGAAATGTCATATCTCTTATATTGTTAACCAATCTGTGTACATATTCAAGACACCCATCATGATAGTAGATTGGCTATTTCGAAAATTTTACATTTGGTAAATGGACATTTTTAAATGGCACCGGGGAAAAAATTGGAAAATTTCTGACAAGGATAGAACCGTGTGATCAGGAGCTTTCTCAAATTAGATTTTAAAATTTACGCTATAGCTATGATTTTTTTGTAAATACGGACAGTTTTATTTCGTGAATCTAAAACATAATCGATCTGATTTACTTATAGGAATCTATATACATATTTTTAAACTTCGTTCAATATATTAACATTGTGTTCATTATTTATTGATTTTGTAGATTGTTTTTGTTAATAAATGATCTTTATTAAAATCAAGTTTTTTTTTTCCCTCACTAGGCTAGTAGTAATAATTATAGCACTAACTCAACTTTCAAATTAAGGGTAAGTTGCCACAGAATCCAAGGAACGATCCCTTTGCTTTAATCAAATGACAATAGTAATAAAAAATGTTTATTGTGTCTTGATCATGTCTTGACAAGTTTTAATAAATTATTAAACTACTAACATACAGTAGTACATGCCGATAACATTTAAGTTACTTTTTATCCCAGTAACCCTAAGGATAACAATTCCGAAACTAAGTTAATAAGTTATCACGCGAACAAAGTTGCGTGCAAAAATATCTTTCTCAAAATGAATAAAATATAACCTTAATAATGACTAGATAGATACCTACCTAAATAAAAAAATTACAATAAATAATTTCTACAGTATTACCTACTTGTATGATGGAAGATCTATAAAAGTCACAAACTCGATTTTATAAGCACACACTTGGGTAAAAATTCACAATAGGTTTAGAAATAGACCTTCCGTTGGCAAAATTAATATAGTTTTTAGTATAGTACAATATAAATACCGCGGGCAAACAGTTTGCAACACATACAAAATAGTCCTTAACTGGGGTACACTTAAAAACATTGGCTTAAGCTGAATTTATATAAGAAATTAGTGGACAGTGAAACAAATTTCGCGGAGCTAATGCATAATGAAACGTAGCACATATGCGAAACTAGTTTCGACAACATCGAAACTTAAAGCGCAGTTGTTGTCGCGACCCTAGTTTGGCATGTAAATTCTGATGATATTAGTTGCGTGCCATTTGTTTCATATAAAATATGCGCATCGCACGAAACTATTCCAGTATCATGAAACTATATGTTCGCATTGTGAAATACGTAACACGTGAAGTTGTTAGTAAAATTAATGCAATAAATCTATTTCATGCCACTAAGTTTCGTAAGTAAATTCTGCTTTTTGGACGTAAAATATGTCGATTGTATGCGAGATTGGACTTAAACAAACCAAAGGTTAACGAGAACAGTAATATATCAATGGTTAAACAGTCTGCGTTACACAGTATCACAGCACGAACATCTCGAAAATCATATCCAGTATGTTAAGAAGTTTCAGGAACCTAGGTTTGGTCTCTTCCTCCGCTTTTCGTGCTGTCGGCTTCTCTTTGTTCCTTTTCTCAGTATCTAGTGAAAAAAAAAGTTTTTTTAATTACTACGAGGTTGTGTATAGCATCTGTACATTTAATCTACTTATGGCTTGTTAATATAGTGCAAGTGCACGGTCGCCGAACAGAGAATTTCGTACAATGACCTCCGGCACTAAATATCTCTCACTCGTGCGCAAACAAATTGCTATTGCGCTCGCACATATGCTTTAGGGTTATCAAGTTTCTGCTATATATTCGGAAAATACGAACCATTTTATCTCACAAATATTTAACAAAATAAATTTAATAACACTAATTTGGAAAATATTGCGCTTTGAAAAGATTAGGGAAAATAGATTACAACAATGAGAAAGTATTAAAAAAAAACGAAAGCACTAAAAAGCACCTCCACTAGATGGCGACTCTAGCAACAGTTGATTTTTGCAGGAAACGAATGGACCAAAGACAGTGATTTCCATACCTATTAACTAACATATTAAAAATCTGAAATTTGAAAAGTTCGAAACTTAGTTATCAATACAAATACGAAAAAGTACAATTAGAATATGAGTTGATTATTGAGTTTTGAAAACTAATTTACTTATAAACATGAAAGAAACCCGGAAAGGTTGTCATGAAGAAACCAAGAACGTACCGACGACATCTAGATAGATTTCGGAAACTACTTTCTTTTTTTAATTACTTCGTCATTTGCTAAAATACAGTTGTTAAGTTAATTACATAAAGCTTTAAAACTTCATTTTAATAACTTTAAAAGAAACACACAAATAACAAAGATATTACAAATATTGCCCAGACGCTCTTACGTTTTTCGCTACCGTAACAAGCCGTGGCGTCATTTCGCTTGAATTTGTAGGGAGCGTTTCGGCAGAATAGCAGCAGTTTCATAAACACAAAGAGATATCTCCGAAACTATCACCTAATCGCAGGCATGCTGTTACTTCAACATTATTCCTCAAATATTAATGGACTATTTAGTTATAAAATAAAAAGAAATTAGTCAACTAGACTATTTTGTCATCGTAAAGTAAACCTATAATGTTTACGAAATCTATCAATAGGCACAAAGGTCAACGTACGAAATTCTTTCTGTTCGGCGACCGTGTTATAGCGTCCTACCTAGTCAGCCTGCCGAGTTGCTGTAGGTTAGTTAAGCACATTGAGATAACTACCTGTTCGGCCGTAATTTACAACTAAAATCACTCGTAAATCTATCAAATTGGACAGTACAGTAGTTTGTATTCGAATAACTTAAAGATTTTTTGTTTTCACTCGCCTACTCATCGGGCAACAATGTGCATATGGCACAGCTCGATCGTTTGGACGCAATACGAACGACAATACCTCTTTTTATTGACGAGCTGGAAATTTTTGAGCGGAACTTGTATTTTTTTGTATGCTGCGCTCGAAAGACTGGCCAGCAGCTACTATTTGTAATGAGCTTAGGCTACTCGGGTAGCGGAAACAAGCGGACAAGCAGTAAGCTACTCGAGCCGTGTATTGACAGCTTCCACTGTGTAAACGAGCCAATATTATTATACTATACCAGTAGTTTATACGTAAACATGCAGAAAGTCGAGTTACAACAATATATGCATTTTCTTCAGTTAATTTCAAACTCAACCATCAAAGCATTAAGGTTTAAAATCAAGTGGAGGAATTTGACAGATTTGTTAGGTTATCTAACGTGTTTTTTGTAGTTTAGACACATATGGCACATTAGTCGACATATAATATATTTCTGTTGCCGCTTCAACAACAAATAATAAAAACTAAAATAAATTAAATCTTTTATGGGCCCATACAACAAACGTGGTTTTTTAAAATAAAATATCGTTTAAGTACATATAGCCCGTGAAGTAGTGATGAGCGATTATTACTCAAAAAATCGAATTAGTCGATTGTTCAGCTTAGTCGATTACAATTGATGTTATTCGATTGTTGTTAACAACCAAACCTTACGGCGCCGGCGGCAGCGGGCGGCTATGACACGCTGCGGTTACCGTAATTACTTATTCGATTAATTTCTAGCGCAGTGCCATATTACTATACCCGTGGTACTACTTATGGTGCGGTGCGGCGCTGCGTGCGCTGCGCTCGACTGCAGTTATTATATAATTCAAATCAAAGTTATCTATTCAGTCTAGGCTGTTACAAAAGATTGGCGCTAATACGTTATTTAGTTGTCTGTTTAGTATTCAATCCACTGATTTGAGGGCACATCCATTCGATCGTCGCAATGTAGTTGTTAGATATCTACACTATCGAGCGTCGAATAATGTTGAGATGTCATACAAACAAACCTTGAAATGTACTATCGCTAACCTACTACATCTTTTTAGGGTTTCGTACCGAAAGGGTAAAAACGGGACCCTATTACTGAGATTTCGCTGTCTCTCCGTCTGTCTGTCATCAGACTGTATTTAATGACGGTTCATGAACCGTGATAACAAGACAGTTGAAAATGTCACAGATGGTGTATTACTGTTGCCGCTACAATATAAATATTTAATGGGACTCCCATACAACAAACGTATTTTTTTTGCTCGCTTCTGGCACGGAAACTTCCTGCGCGAGTCCGACTCACACTTGGTCGGTTTTTTTGTATTATGTTACTTGTCTTTCTTGTCATATATAATGATATAAATACCAACTAATTACTAATAAAGTAAGCAAACAATCAACGCATCACCAAATACTCCGCGCAGTTAACCGACCGCACGCGCATAGCACATAATGATCACATAGTTTACGTACAGTTAATAGTTAAGACGATTGTTATTCGAATAATCATGGCAGGCACTACTAAATCGAGACTCGAATGCGCAGTAGTACAATTTTCGATTCAGTCGATCGTATTTTTTTGCAACAATCGCGCATCGCTACCGTCAAGTTTGTTATTTAGAATGCATGATTGTTTAAATTTACATTTACAGGTTAAGAAAATGATTATTTTATTACAAGCTTTTATTTAGCTGAGCGACCCATAGGTATCAAATGAAAGGGCTTAATTTGTGCAATACAAATACACCAAATAAAACTTACAACAAAACAAAATTTTGTGTCCTTGTTAGGACCTTGATTGATGAAGGTAATATTGTAACAATAAACCAATTCATCCACTGAGGCAGAGTTAAAAACAAATCATAGCGCATCGAAAATTATCTCTACAAAGTAATGCATATTTGTGGAGAATTTATTGATAGGACAATGCGCTATACTTGCGTCAGTGATTCTCGTAAAGTTGGTAGTTAGTAGTTGCATACGTAGCCATCAAAGGCCAAGGAAATAAAGAATAGTGGGCTAATATTGTAACATGAATATCTTGCGTGCATATAAATTCGGTCATAATTATCTTCTCTTCTCTAAACATCCTTTCAGCATGACAATAATATTTGTAAGGATACTGCCACAATTTGACTATGATTTTTTTAAATAAAAGATAAATTAGAGTTTGGCAAGCGAAACGTGACACCACCTATTTTTCCGTTTTCATATGGCAACAACATAGAACTGTCAGTTTGACACTACGTTAGACAATTCAAGAATATTGAATTTTGTTGTTTTTGCGAATTTGAACTTGTGTTTTTGGTTAAAAATTATGTCGAAGCCGATAAAAAGTTCATCGAGGAAACTTCTTTCCATCATGATTGACAAGTTTACTGAAGTGAAAACTGAATTAAATAAAAATTTCATGGAGAAATTACAACGATTAGATAAAGTTGTATCTTTTTTAGGTTAGTTTTGTATTATAATTTTGATACTTTCGTTTTAATTTTCTGTAATTAACTAAACAGATATTTTTTATAAAATATTGCTCTATTTCAGATAACTGTGATGGTGATATTCAACCAATAATGGAGGAGATAAATGCAATAAAAACTTTAGAAAAACAAGAAATGCTGAATTCGGAAACGCAGTACTTACAAAAAATTTCTTCAATGACAGGTCTCTTTTCTTGTTTTGATTTAAGATAGATTGATAGTATTCCTATAATATTTACATAGGTTTTTTATGATGTATTGGTTTTTATTGTTGACATCCAATGATGTCATAAGAATGTTTTGTTTAACAAGGAAATTCACAGAATTCATGAAACTAATCAAACCATGTAATTGTTATACATGCTAAATATGCACATAAACTTAACTAAATTAAACATAAATTGCATTCATAGTTGAATAGGTATTTAAATTATTTTGATGTATGTGTTTTTAAATACATTATTTGCTTTTAAATACATTTAACATATCTTTGTTTCAAAGTGTTTAATCTTTTATAGATGTAAGTATAAGGACACTAAGAAGGATAAAAAATGAAGCATTAATTAATAAAGGAAAATGGGACACTCCTGGGAAAAAACGACCTCATCAACCAACAGTGTCTGCTTTAGATAATTTTGATTTAAGTGCAATTCGGAATAAAGTAAATGAATTTTACTGTGTGAAAAAAATTGTTCCAACATTATGCAATAGGATTCAGTGGTAGCCGTGAGACTTTACGAAAAATTATGCTTAAGAATGGATTTTCTTTTAAAAGCAATGAAAATGAACGTTCTATGCTTATAGAAAAATACCAGATTTCTGCATGGAGGCACAAGTATTTGAGAGAAATAAATATAAAACGAAACGAAGGAAAGCAAATTGTGTACCTTGATGAAACTTATGTACATCAGAATTATAAAGTTAAAAAGTCTTGGCAAGGACCTTCAACAACTGGTGTCACTACAAAGATATCCTCTGGAAAACGGCATATTGTTGTGCATGCTGGATCTGAGGAAGGTTTTGTGCCTGGTGCATTATTAGTGTTCAGTAGTAAATCCAAATCTGCTGATTATCATGATGATATGAACTCATCGAACTTTATGAAATGGGTCAGAGAAAAATTAATACCAAATTTAAGTAAGCCCAGTGTAATTGTTATGGATAATGCCAGCTACCATATAAAACAAATCAATAAACCGCCTATAATGTCTAATACCAAAGCAGATATCCGTAAATGGCTTGTAAATAATGGAATACATTTTGAGGAATATCAGACAAAGGCAGAGTTAATGTGTTTGGTTAATGATAAGAAAACATTGCCTGTATATGAAGCTGAAGAGATTTTAAAAGAACATAATCATGAACTTTTATTGCTGCCACCGTATCATTGTGACTTAAACCCAATAGAGATGGTTTGGAGTCAAGCAAAAAGAAAAATTGCAAGCAGAAACATTGGAATACCAGGAAAGGAAATGGAAAACTTAATAATAGAGTGTTTTAACTTAATTACCCCTAGTGACTGGAAGAAATACACTGATCATGTTTTAAATGTCGAAAATGATTACAAATTAAAAGATGGCATTGTTGAAAACGAACTTGAAAAATTTATTATATCTGTTGGTGCAGACAGTAGTGAAGAGAGTGACTCTGATGATTCCTTGTCATTGTTATCAGGTGTAGAATATTTAGAAACAGATTTTGACTATGAATCAGACTAAAGTATTTTTAGTCTGATTCATAGTCAAAATCTTATCTTAAATTTTCTATTGTGATTAACATGATGATTTTGTGACACCTGTATTATGTAATTTATCCATGGCACTTAATTGTAACAAAAATAAATGTTTTTTTTATTGTAATCTGGTGTTTATATTGACTAATTTAATTTGATAGATAGTGGTTCTGGATCAGAGCAAAAGGTTGTGATGAAAATCCCTTAGGAGACATGTATGTGTTATGAACACATTATAAATATAAGGGCCAGAAATCAAAATTGGCTAACATCACATTTATTAAAAAAATGTGGCCAGAGTCGCCCATATTCATTACAAAAAAACAAAGAAGTCGTTGCAAAAAACACCCTTTTAATTAATGACAAATATGAATTTTTAATATTATAAGTGCTGTTAGCCAATAGGTATAACGAATGGGTTAAAAAAAAGATTCGATTTAGTCCGTCAGTCAGATAATAGAAAAATATTGGATACGTATTTTTTTTCGCTTTAATTTAACAACAAATGGCTTAAGAGGTACTATGCGACGACTTCAAATATGCTTTGCAACAATGTTACTTTAATACAGTTTATCGATACGAAATCAAGTGTCAAAATGGAGTCCAGTGGAGAATGCCGATATTGACATTTCGAAATTGCTCATCATTGATAGAGAATACGAAATAGTGATTTTGACACAATCAAAGTGTCTATTTTTTACGGTGATGACGATTCTTGGTTGTCAGTTGAGTTAGTGAATAGGCCTACTGATATGCTGTTAACTGTACAATTAAGAACAGTCACGCTTTAGTCAAATGTTCCAAAACAAATAATTTTAATTGATATCTAAATGTTAAGATTAAATATAATTAATAAAAGTATCAAAATTATTTTGCAGTACTACATTCAGTGTTTACTGCTTAAGAATTTTTGAAATTGCCGCCCTTTTCTTGTGACACGTTTCGCTTGCCAGACTCTATCACAATAATGGTAATATATTCATGAACTACTAACACAGACAGAGAGAGACAGAATACATTACAACAATTAAAAGGATTTAAAAACAAAAAAGTATAAAAAATTTGAGCCTCGGGAGCTTTTGTAACAAGTGCGGACGTTTTGGGTCGGTACGCATCTGACGTAAAATCCATCATAGGTCGCACGGACGCTGCTACTCGAGTACGCGGCGGAATTTCTGTCCTGTACTAGGACGAATGTCATATAATTTGTCAGTTCTTACGTTTAGCGACCGACGCGACGCGACGCATCTTCCGTCAGATGTGCACCGACCTTAACAAGAGAATCGTTTTAGGCGAGTACAATGATACAATACATCTTCAAAAAACTGGTAGAAAACGATAGAAAAAGTTTCTGTGTAATTCTAAGTTGATAAAACCCATTTCTCATTTCTCTGAAGTATATTATTAGTAAGTATCTTATGTATGAATTTTTGCAGGTACATATATATTTGTATTTATTTAAATATTACCTATATTTATGTATCTTATAAGTAGATGCGCCTAATAAATAGTGATTTCACCGAATTTCTAATGATATTCAGTTTAAGCTTAAATGAACCGGATATTCGGCCTTATTCGGTTTACCATTTTATTGTTTTTATTTAGCCAGTGTTTCTTTCAATCATATCGAACTTCAAACAATTATTACGGAAGCAAGCAACCTATATGAAGCAATATGCAACAGAAAACAGGGTTAGAGGAAGGCCGCCATACGAAACTTCTGCCCCAGTTAGAAAAAATCGTAGATCCGGGCCTGTTAAGTCCGAATCACATCACGACATCTATTAGTTAACATACATGGAAAAACTTACAAATAACTACGTGTTAATACACAATACAAACAAAAATGGTAAAATGAGGTTACCCCTTGATATATTAAATAAAACTACGTTAATTATAATGTTTGAAGACCTCTCTTTAATAGGGCTGAAGACTATTTTTTTTGTTTATTCATTAGGTAGACAGTTGAAAAATATTAAAGACATATATTTTTTTTGGCGTTAATCATTTAATTACGATATATTGAATTAAATTGTCACATGACGTCACGCTTTTTTACATTTTCTACAAAACTGTGATATAACGAGCCCCCACTCCTCAACTTTAATGCCTGTTATCTAAGGTATTGTTAAATTGAAGTAAAAAAAATACGCATCTAATATTTTTCTATTATTCAACTGTTTTTTAACCGGTTTCACAACCAATAAGGATTGTATCATCGCCTCACGTAAGTTAACCAAAGTTCATACATTCAGCAAAATTAATCCGTACACATATATGTGATAGCTACTATCTCTTTAGCTGAATGTTAAGTATTAAATATAAAATTATCAGTATGAAGTTCAATTAGCTTAATATGTAGACATCCAATCTGTCACCGGGCTCTTAATCTATGTAACCACCTGGTTATCGCCTGTATAATAGCAAAATGTATTTTTATGTGCTTAATGATTTGATAAAAAAGATATAAACCAAGCCACATCTGACCTGCTTTCTCATTGATGTGCTGATGTTTCTCAACTGCCAGTAGTTGCTCATCACTGAATGCAGTAGATGCATCTAGGAACACTTGGATGCTGTACTCAGAGAAGTAGTGGGACCAGTGGCCAAAAACACCAATACCTAAACAAATAAATATTTTCTGTACAGAGAATTCCATTGAAATTTTGTGTACGCCTAAATGTCATTTTTCTCAAGTACGCCCATACAATTTTACACTCTAGATCTGAGAACAGATTGTTTTGTATAGATAGATAAAGCATTTGTCAAATTTTCTGAAAACTTTTTTATCATAAACTATTATTTTTCTATTAACTACTAACACAGTAAACAATATTGGTTTTCTCAGTAGCTCTACCTAAATTTCAACCAAATTAAATACCTACCTATAGGTCTTGGAAAGTCTGCTGGTATGCTGACAAGATCTTGACCACATGTGGCAGAGCTGAAATTGTTTTTGTCAATTTCATAACTTGGTCTGTGAATATCAAAAGAAAAAAGATATAATCACACTTATTTTGTAAAGGATAAGCAAAGGTTATTGCACGAATATTTTTTTCCAATTAAATAAACAGACATATATGGAATCTGTTAATTTTACTGGATCCAAGTATCTTTAATCGCCTTTCTTTAAAAAAAATTGCTTCAACCATCAATGTAATGCATAATAGGTATATCATTTATTATTATGCTACATTGAATAAATTCGACAACTACCAATAGTACACAAAAAATTTACCGTATTTAAAACCTATTCCATAATTCATTCACACAACTTTAAGATTAGCACAGATTAAGACAACTGATGTATTACTTTCTTTTTTAAGTTAGTTGTTTAACAGCAGATTAGCAATAAAACTGTTATTCCAAGGAGTTATTGAGAACCAATTTCTGGCAAAAGGTAATGCAAAGCAGCAATATCCATCAGTATAGCAGCAAAGTTAGGTGTAAATACCACACAACTAACTATACTACACTAACAAACTAACTTAATATTGTATATTATAATTTAATTTAATTTTAAGAGTAATAAAATGACTGAGTATATACTTCAGTGCATATTACCAATCAAACTTTTTAGCTATGTAACAAATTTATGAAAAATTTGTGACAGATCAACACTCTGTTTTCTACCTAAATGGTAACATAAAATAACAAGATAATAGTTTCACTCAATTTAAAAATAATAAATGTTAAAATATCTACACTAGAACCACCATTAATGGTAAGGTTCTTCACTTATGAAAGTAAAATCGTAGCATAGTAGGAATATTACGATTTTACAATAAAAACCTTTATTTTGACGTTTTTTTTATAAATATATCAAGCAGACATAATTGATAAGCACAAATAAAAAATTTTTAACGCACATTATATGATCCAATTACATGTCATAAAAAATAGGTTTAGAGACAAACAATGAAAATATCAGTTCATACCTTACAGAATCCGACACATAAAGATCTGCATCGCCTGTTATAGATGTTAATTCGACCAGCAATGGACCGGTGTGGCCCAATTGCCAATAAGAAAAGTTGCCTGCGCCAACAGCCCCAACAACTGTATCTAAGAGCACTTTATCAGCTTCTATGTGCGCATATCCCCCTAAAAGGGATGAAAGTGTAGAAACACATATTATTCCTAGTAAAAATAAAATGAATTCTTTACGCATTTTGTAGATTTCATTAAAAAAACACTAACAATTACAATTGCATTTGACATTCTTAATTAATGTTGCCCAATTATATTTCGTTTTAACCAATTCTGAAACATTTAGTTACCATCATATAAACATTATAGAAATAACAAAAAATAACCAACTATATAAGATGAAATATTTTTTTTTATTACTAAAATTTTCAATCACATTTTTTTAATCAACTGTTATTATTTAGAAAAAAATGTCGTTTCATCATCCAAGAAAGCTCGCGCGATTGTTAAAGCAAGCAAATTTTTTTAAATCATATGAGTTATCATTATTCGGAAAGAACCATCCATAAAATAGTGTGAGCATATAATGTGATTGCGAGATTCTGTTCTGTGTCAAGAGGCAAGGTCTAAAGCTAATGAAACTGTTTTATAAGCTGTTTAAAGTAGTGATGGACGTATTCGCGATAGACAGTTATCCAAATAGAGATTTGCCGGAACCGCGATCACTAGTGATTCAGTTATACAATAACTATCTATATTCCAAGACGCTTTTAAGTAAAGTTAAATTTTGGGCGACTCGCTTTACAATAACCGTGATCACAAAGAAGTATACGTGTGAATGAAATAGATATGTTTGTACGTTCCGCATTACTCGACTTTCGGAGTGATCAAGTAACCAACCCAAAATTGAGCTTTATCGCGTTTGTATAAGAGTAAAATTCGTTTTGATTTTGTAGTGTTGTAGAAATAACTAGTTATCAAAAATAGGCTTTTTTGTTTTTATATCAGTGATTGGCGATCTGATAGCGGTTACGTTACGTGATTTATAAAATGGATAGTAAGACATCGCTTGTTTAAAAGTAGTTTTTTCTAAAAGCTATTTTTTATACTTGCGTGTCTATTTTCTATTTACCATCTATTGCGGAAAATTAACTATGTTGGCAACACTGTCTTTAAAGTTATCAAAGTCAAATAGATGTTTTATTTTTTTATTTTGACAAGCATGATGTTAGAATCGTAAGTCCAGAATAAATTTAATTGATAACTTATTGCCAAGAGTATTGATTTACATATCGAGTTTTTTCGAATTTACTAGAGAGTACGGATTCCGACATAGGAAAGATTCTATCACGATGTTTTTGTTGAGGTTGTGTACCTTTTTACTTTTATTTATTTTTTATATATTTTAAATTATTGTCATTCTTTTATAATCTTTGATGTTTAAAATAAAAAATAATTGTCATCGTCTCGTTGTGTCATAGTGAGCTATATTGTATATTTTATGTAATAAACCCATTATTTGTCCATTATTATCGTTCATTTTCATTATACAGTCCCATTTCCACTAGCTCTCCGTTTCATTTTTTGGTCCTTCCACCGTAGTTTCCACGTACCTATCATTTTAGTATTTTCTCGTAGTATCATTATCATTATTGTAGTTGTCGATCATAGTATTCTCACCTTCATTTTCACCAACATCTTAGTATTTTCAACACTATCATTATGTCATCGCCTACTGGTATAATCACCCGCAGCAAGAGCAAGCTCGTTTCAGTTCCTCAACATAGTGCTTCGTCAAAATCATCTACCACAATTCGTGCTAGAAAGACAGCCGCGGAGGCCTTGCTTTTACGACAGCAGCTAGATCGCGAATTACAGCTTGCCGAACACGAACGTGCAGCGGAAGAACGCGAGCTACAGCGGAAACGTCAACTTGTCGAAATACAAAAACAAGTTGAAGAACGAGAGCTTCAAGCAGAGTTGGCAGCCATCGACGCGGAAGTAGCCAGCAGTTCCAGTAAGCGAAGCATACCAGTAAGCGCAGAAAGAACACAAAGATGGGTAAACGTTCACACTAGTAGTGGCAATAATAATAGAGACCTTTCCGCAGAAGGGTGCGATGACGACAACATCGCACTCCCCGGTCACTATGAGCCACATACCCCGGCTCTGGTGCCCACTCGGGACCCTGCACCCTCTATCATTCCAAACCACACTCACAGACGGACAATGACAGTTAATTTCAACACCAAAGTTTCCGAGGGGGAAGGCCTTTCCCCACCACTCATTTCGGAAACTCAACCGCAGGTGTCACAATCTTCAGTGTTACTGCAAGCCGTAGCTGACACAGCTGCTGCAGCGAAAGCATTAGCTTCCAATCAAGGAAAGGCTAAGCTTCCCACGCTTCCAACATTCTCTGGAGACCCATTACAGTGGCTCCAATTTAAACGTATTTATTATTCTTCTAATTTTTCGTTTACTCCTTTAGAAAATATAGTACGTATTCAAAGCGCTCTCCATGGGGCCGCCTACGAAGTTGTAGCGTCCGTGTTATTGTGCAGCGAGGACCCCGACGAGATCATACGCGTCTTAGAAGACAACTTCGCTCGACCGGAACTGATTGTGTACAGAGAAGTAGTCTCGTTAAAAAACCTTCCTCGGTTAGGTAACGACTTAAAAGAATTAAATACTATAGCCAATCGAGTTCGAAACAGCGTCGCTACTATACGATTGCTCAATCATTTTGAGTATTTGCACTCGCCCGAATTATATTACGCAGTAATAAATAAATTGACCCATACTTTAAAATCTAGGTGGGCCGATTTCGCCTCACAAGATAGTACTCAGCGATCTAAATTAGAAATTTTGTCTGATTTTCTAAAACGTGAACTTAATCAACACATAAAGTTTACTTTGTCGCCTGAAACTACTACTACATCACCGGTTATCCAGCAGTTTCAGAGCACACCTCATACGTTGTCAACCAAACGTCTCAATATTCTTACTGCCACACATGTTTCATCAACGAAACCAAATAAAGGTTCAGTTTCGATACAAGAGTGCTGTTTTTGTAAAAAAGATCACTCCATAAAGTGTTGTCCTCAATTCAAACTTCTTTCTATTGATGAAAGATGGCGCTGGCAACGGGAAGCTAAAGTATGCTACCGATGTCTACGTCGTGTCTCTCATCAATGGAAAACATGTAAAGTCAATGCATGCGGTATTGACGGATGTGTTTTTCGCCACCATCCGCTTTTACACGGTAGGCAATTTATACAAAATGAAATAGTCAACACTACTGATCACGAAAATTGTGTCACTTTGCCTACACCTTCCAAAATTTGTTCCATCTCAATACCTCATACTGATACTTTCTCGGACTGTAAAGACGAGAAGGTGATAGTATCGACAACCGAAACATGTCTGAAAAGTAAAGCGCCCTCACAAACTCTTTTAAAAGTTATACCAGTGACCGTTTCGGGCCCGACCGGTGATATTGACACCTTCGCGTTACTCGACGATGGCAGCACGGCTACTTTAATCGACGTCAGTATTGCCTCCAAGATCGGACTCACTGGGCCTGAAGAAACGATCACGGTTAATGGTGTAGGTGGGCTCAGTAAAACTACCAAAATTCGTCACGTCAATTTCGGCATTAAGGGTAGGTACACATGTGACACATTTTCGGTCAGTGCAAAATCTGTCGATTCGCTTTCGCTACGACCACAGACTGTTAGCAAAGAGTTTATTAAAACATTTTCACATTTAACTGACTTAGTCGAAATTTTACCCTACGTCAACGCCACCCCTATGGTGCTCATAGGAGCTGACCATTGGTATCTTTCCTTAACCAAAGAGGTTCGGAAGAGAAACCGAAATGAACCTGTGGCCTGCTTAACAGCATTAGGTTGGGTGCTATATGGGACGTCGAGGAATAAAACTAAAATTGTCAATTTGGTCAACCATGTCGAAATCGAAAGCGAAATGACTGATTCATTGGAATATCTCATAAAAGAACAATACAAATTAGATGCATTAGGGATTTCTAAGCGTGATATACTTCTTAGTAAGCAAGACAGACGTGCGATCGAAATCTTAGAATCGACCGTAAAGCGTTTGCCATCTGGTCGTTTTGAGATTGGTCTGCCGTGGAAGGAAGGGATAACACACGTCCCTTACAGTTACCCCCAGGCTCTATCGCGTTTTTTGAACCTTGAGCGTCGCATGAGAAGGGATATCGAATTTTCTCAGGCGTATCATACTTTCATGAACAATATGCTGTCCAAAAACTATGCTGAAGAATGTCCTCCTAGTACCTTTCACGACAAACACAATCCCAATGACGACTTTAGCAATATTAAGTGGTATTTACCACATTTTGGCGTCTATCATCCACAAAAGGGGAAATTACGTGTTGTCCATGATGCTGCCGCTTTGAATGAGGGTGTCAGTCTGAACTCGATGTTGCTTTCCGGTCCCGATTTGCTTCAGTCTCTACTAGGAATTCTCTTTCGTTTTCGGGAAGGACGCATTGCACTTACAGCCGATATTAAGGAAATGTTCCCTCAGTTCCGAATCCGAAAAGAAGACAGGGACGCTCTACGTTATCTTTGGCGGCCTGAAGCACAAGCGGAGACTGAAAAGCAACCCATTAAAGAGTACAGAATGACAGCTGTCATTTTCGGTGCGTGTTGTAGCCCTTTTATCGCACAATACTTGAAAAACAAAAATGCTAATGAATTTGAAAAATCTCACCCGGCTGCTGTCAATGCTATCCTTCGTGACCATTATATGGACGACTACCTCGGATCCCACGACGACGTTCAGACAGCAGCAAGAATCGCGGCTGACATAGTAAAAATCCATAGTGCTACGTGCTTGGAGATGAGAGGATGGATTTCTAATGATCGGTCAGCTCTAGATCTAGTACCTGCGGATCTACGAGCCTCCCTACCATTGGAAGTTGATCTCGGCAATAACCCCAACACTATCCGAGCATTAGGGATTGCATGGCAGCCACTATCTGACATTTTAGGTTTTCGCTCAGGTATAGAAGGTTCACTACCTCAACCACTTACAAAACGAAAAGTTCTCTCACATTTAATGCGTGTGTATGACCCCTTAGGTTTGCTAGGTCCGGTTATAATTAAAGGTCGTATACTTTTTCAACAAGCATGGAGATCTAATATTGGTTGGGATACTGAATTTTCGCCTGAACAATTGTCAAAGTGGACTGAATGGTTTCAGGCGGTGATACAAGTAGCGTCAATTAAAATCCCACGTTGGTATGCTTTTTCCTTGAACTCGGAGCCTTTATTTCGCGAGTTACACGTCTTCGCCGATGCTAGTGAACATGCGTACGCCAGTGTTGCATATTGGCGTCTCATTTACGAAGACGGATCTATACGACTTGCTCTGATTTCAAGCAAAGCAAGAGTATCACCACTGAAACCAACTTCGATTCCCCGTTTGGAACTTCAGGCCGCTTTGATAGCTTCTCGCCT